AGTTTACTTAAAATGGCCTTTTCAATACCGTGATGAAATGGGACGTACTCAAAAGCACTTCTGCCTGCCGAAGTATAATGTTATCTCAAGGAAAACATTTGGGAGGCTGCATTATAAACTGAAGTAGACACTCTTCATAGAATACAACTTTTACTTAGAAGAATGAATCGTAAGCAAACTGGTTATTTGACAGACCTTTTCTTAAAAATGAACAAAGGGATCCTGTTACCTCAAGAAAAATAACTGGTAGTGTTTGTTGCCAGTGATAAAATTCAAGCTTTTAAGTAATAATAGGATTTTGGTAAACTTGTATTCACCGTCCTGATCTTGACAGCTTCTCAATACTTCAGATTCATGGTGATATTATCAGATGATTTTTATTTATATTGTTTTGATGAACTGTGTCAACACTTGGAAGAGCTGCATACAGAAACCAGTATTTTCAAAGGGAACAATGTGTCATTGCAGTAGTCAGCCTCCAAGATGGCCTCCAACCATCCCACTGCCTAGATTTCACAACCTTGTGTAGTTCCTTCCCACATGGACCACCGTCGGTCGGTATTACCTATAAAATATAGCAAAGTGATGTATATCACCTCTGAGACTAGTCATAAAAGATGCTAAGTTGATGAGTGTTTCTTAATGTGGGTAGTTTCACATGACTGTGGTCACTGTGTGAAAATCCCAGCTGAGTACTAATCAACTTGTATGCTTTTCTGTGTATGCCTAAGTCGTTTTTTAAAAAAATATGTATCTCCCTGACAAGACTCATAGAGCAGGAATTTTGTTATTAACGGTCACATTCATAGTGCTTGGTTCATAGTAACCATGTGAGGCGATAGTTTACAGAATGGAAAATTAAATGGTGCTTGGAGTTCTGCCCTGTTCTAGGGGTCTTTCCTAAAACTCAAGTAACTGATCCACTCTACTCTGGTGAAGACTACCTCCCACTAAGTTTCCACACTTCCCACCATTTCCCTACTTACTTTGGTCTATGATCTCAATGCACCTGATGTTTCCCATGCTCTTTTTATACACACCATGATCATCTTCCAAGTTTCTAGTAATCTTCTAAATTTATCATACTTAACAGTTATTCATATTTACAATGTGTTCAGCACCTAAATAGTTCAATATTAGCTATTATAATGAATGCGATTTTTCAAAAAGAATTTCTTATGAGTTGACGGGTAAATACCTAGTACAACTTGTAGCTTCCTGACATGAACATTATATAGTGTTCATATTCTTCAGTACTTTTTTCTGTTGTTACAATTATCAAGCTATTTTAAAGATTTAGAATGCCAGCAATCTAGCATGAGCCTTACCTAATAATGCCACATGGCAAACAAGGGTTAATACTCATCAAATTCAATGTTAGCAGCCAGGGAATAAATGATCCCCGCTTTGACTTTACTGCGTATGTGTTAGTGTTTGGATAGCTGATACTTAAAACGAATTTAGTGCAGACAAAAATCCCAATTTTCAAGTGATAAATTTAGTTAGGCACCATGGTTTACTTTTAGGTAAACTGTAAAAAAGAAAAGCGTATGTATGTTCAGCCATAAACAAGCTCTTTTTTTTCCCTCCCTCATTTAATTTTCCCAAAGATTAAAAAGTAAACATATTTGTAGTAGCCATGTTTGTGTGTCAACTTGGCTGGGCCTAGTTGAGTGTCTGGGCAGCTGGATGTAGTTATTCCCCATGGTGAGACTGTTAACTCCATGGTACAATCTATTGGAGCAGCTGAATAGCTGTCTTAGGGATGTGGTCCGCTTCCTATCTAAGAAACAGCTTTGGGAATGGTCTCCAGCTTGTGGCACGCTTGGACCCTGCATATAGCCAAGTCGTTCAGCAGCCTGCCATGCTCTGTGGATCTTGGGACTTACAGTGGACTTGAATCAATGGCCTGTTGTGTTGTTTGGTAACATCGGAACTGTGCCATTTTACTTGTCAATCTTGGGTTTGTTAGCCTCAACAGCCAGCAGCTGCCTGAGTGAAGAGATGCCTCTAGCTTCAGTGGGCCAGGAGCAAGAGGCAGAGCTGAAGCCCAAGGTCAAAGGACTTTCACCCAGCCCCTAGAGACCAGCACTTTGAACTTGGATTTCTACCCTCCTGAACTGTAAGAGAAAAACTCCTGTTTGTTAAAGCCATCCCATCTGTGGCATTTTCTGTTAGAGCAGCACAGAGGTAACCAGACTACTACTGTAATAGCTGAAAAATGTCTTTATTATACCATCTTTCTGTATCAAGATACTTATTTGAAAGTGTATACTTAAATATACTCCACACACACACTTCTCAGAAATACTGTACCACAAAGATTGATTTCTACCCTCCTACCACTTTATGTAGAAACTCTGGTAGCGTAGTGCCTAAGGCATCTGACTGCTAACCAGCCACTCCTCGGAAGGAAGGTTGGGCAATCTACTTCCGTAGTGATACTGCCTCAGAAACCCAAGGAGGGGTTGCCATAAGTCGGATACGACTCGATAGCAATGTTTTTTTTTTTAACAAACCACTTTATGTATGTTGCATGTGGAATTTCATCTCATCTTGTCAAAACTCACAATGAAATTGACAGTTGTGGACAGAGGGATAGGGGAGGTAGTTAATGGAAAAGACTTAAACAAGCAGCACACACTATTTCTGTCATTCCAAGGTGCCAGTCAGAGCCTGGAGTACTACATGCAGCCACAGACCAGCCAGTGTTAACGCAGTGAGAACAGGAGTGACTACAGGATCAGAGAGGGCAGTGCAGGTGGAGGGGGCTTACAGGAAATCATCTAAAACTCAAAAAACTACAAAACCATTTCAAGAAAAAATAAAGTAAAAGCAATGGAGTTTATTTCAGTGTCATTGTTTTAAATAAGATATGATATATTAAGCTCCCATATCCCCCAACCTGGTAGAAAAATTCCTCACTGAGAAATCATTTACTTTAATGGCAAAATTCATACATATCAATAAAATCTGTTATATTTAAAACTATGAATACAGTACATTTCTGGCAAAAAACCTTATACATCTTTCAAATGTCAAGACAAAGTAAAAATATGGCTGCATAAAATCACAAAAAATAGAAATTGCTGAAAAGATATTAAAAAAAGATTAAAAATCATTTGCATTGACTCCCCTTACATCTTCAATTCATACTAATTTGCAAACTACAATAAATTTGTGAAAATTGTGATGCATCCTTGACATTCTGAAACAAAAGTCATTTCAAATATCCCAGCTTAAAAAAATTTACTGCAATAGTCTGTGCATTTATTATACTATTTGTACAAGTGCAATATTGAAGTATCTTCAAAATAAAGCTCAGTAACTAAAAGAATCACAATAACTTAAAAAAGAAGCAAAATTTACAAAATTAACAATTTTCAGAAGGTCCTCCTTTATTCCACCCCACCCAACAACAGCTTATACAGACATTACAAGCAACAACATCTTAGTTCTATATACAAATCTGTAACTTTAAAAATACAGTCTTCAGTTCTTAATATCAGAAACATAATGCCTAAGTGAAATCAATATCCCCTAAACAAAGGACCATATACAAGTTACAGTAAATACAATTCTGAACTCATATTTAAGTGGAACACCTGCAACTTGTAAAGCTTCCAAATTCTTACAGAACAAGCCCTAGTTAAAAAAGAAGCAAGATTTTTCTTGTGAATTCAGTGCATGTTTCTAGGGGTACTGAAACCAAATCTATAACTATATATAGATTTACAGTTTTTATGGAGGCTATCATGGCATTTCAGTACATTAACATCTGGTTACATAGGTGCCCACTATAATTGCCAAAAACAATCCTGAAGTATAAAGATTCTGAAATTAGGCTAAAAGATAGCTCCATCACAGTGGAAAGTTAACACTGAGAGGAAAAACAACAACAATTTCTTGAAGTGTTAATAGTACCAAGAAAACATGGGCATCTGCTATAGTTTTATAGCCTGAGGTGCCACTGAATCTTCATTTATACCTATTATGTAATGGTACTACCAAGGCTGAGAAAATGAAGACATAAGTTAGAAATTAAGGAAAGTTATGCATCTTTAGACAGTTACCAAAATACTAATTAAAAAAAAGAACTAAAACCCAAAACAAGGCCAGAAAATATGGCCATTCACAATTAACTGATCTGTATTTTATCCAAAAAAATAGTACAAATAACAATAATGCCATCTTTGACTAAAGAGACATAACCAAATGAAGCATGTAAACCTTAACTGGATCCTGGTTCAAAATAACCATCCATAACACAAGAAATGTGGAGGACAACTAGGGAGATCTGAATATTGACTTTTAGATGAAATTAGAGAATTATTAATTTTATATGGTATTACAGTTTTGTAGAAGCATGTCCTTGTTTTTAGGAGATGCTTGAAGTATTTAGGGCTAACACGCATGTCTGCAACATCCAAATGATCCAGGGGGCAAAAAAGGATATACTGTATACACACACATGTATACACATATCTCTATATATGAAGCAAATATGGCAAAATATTAACAATTGTTGAATCTAAGTGTTAAGTACACATGATCACTCTATTGGTCTTTTAATTTTTGTTTTTTTAAAATATTCGTAATAAGTTTTGGGAGGAAAGACATATATATCCAAGCTTTTAAACAGTAAGAGAGGTTCTGTGCATGAAGTCAACTGAAAAAGTACATGATCAGATAACTAGAAATTCTTGCATACATTTAATACTAACTGACATGATGAGTAGTTTGTGAAATTAGAGGGGAAAAAAAAACATCATTTATTTACAGTATATGCAATTTAGCTCATATGACAAAAATTTATGTACAGAATACAGTGGGACATACCATAAGATTAAACTTAGTGCCTAGAGTTTCTGAATATATAAGTTTTGTGTGTTTCAGACTTGCCAAGCTAAAGAGAAATTTTAAATTGTGTTTAGTATCTTTGATACAACTTACCATATACTGTAAAATATTAGCAGGGGGATATCAAAGAAGTTACTGGCAGCCCAGAAAACGAATTGTCCTATAAAGGTTTCTGGGGATTCTAGGCAGGTATTTATTGAATTAATTTATGGAGCAAACATGTAACACATCAACATGTAATAATATGAAGGCCTTTATGGTAAATTAATATTCTACAAAGCCCTGTGTTCACTAAATATAAAATAGCCAAAAAGTGAGCCTGAGACCTATAATTCATTATATATATTATACTAGATGCCTACAGAACAATCAACAACAAAATAATCTTAGTTCATTTTTGCACATTAGGCTTTTAACTATTAATCATGTTCCAATCTCTGTGCAAATTGCATTCCAAAGGCCAGTTCTCGGTTATAATTATGTATAACTTGATTACAAATGGAAGCATTTGGCTATGACTTATGCATGCTTATTGCTATCAAAGAAATAAGCAAAGTTTTAGGTTTACTGAGCAAGAATTTTAATTAGATTTGCACACATCTCAAAAAATTCTATTGTGTGACTTCCAGGTCTTGGAGTTAAGTCAACAGGAGAAGAGTCAAGTGAGGTTACAGATGAGGTAAGAGACACTTCTGAAGACTTTCCTTGAGCCTCAATATCTGAATCACTCCTTTGGCAAGACCGATAGTTGCTCACTGATCCTGATCTCTGTGGGGTAGCAGTCCCTGATTTGGCTTCAGTAATTTCATCTGGGTAAAAAGAATTTCAATTTATTATCATCCATCATCCTCCAAAAACTGTTTTAAACCATTGTTGAATTTGCTTTTCTAAGAAAAAGTACTGACCAATTATCAAAACATGTTTATTTTTGGTATCCTCTAAAAGAGAGACAATGGGCCTGTGTTAAACCATCCACCTTATTTACATATAGCATGTATTCCCATCATAGCTGATCAAGACTTGGTATAATCTGTAGCTACGCATCAGTCTTTTGCAATTCAAAGATTAAAAAGCCCAGTAAACCAACAACATGGGTTTACTTAATAAACATCATTCTGTAGCAATAAAAATCAATCCTTCTATATCAGAATCACAGAATTAGTGGAAGGAATCTTGGAGATCATCTTACTCAACCTCTCATTTTATTAATAAGTTAACAGAAGCCCAGAGAAGTCAAATAAGTGCTTATCTACAGTAAAATAAACAGCGAAACAAGCCTCAAACCCAGGTATCGTAGTTCACGGCTCAGTGCTTTTCATTCTCCCACTCACTATTTTTAAGATCTCATGAAAGCACAATAAAGAACAAAAATTTTTAAAAAATTAAAATTAAAGTTAGGAAGACAATGTAATAGCAAATGCCATTCAGTTGGTAGACCCAGGCGTTAATAAACCAAAGGTTGTGAATTTGACCCAAACACAAGAAAAATATTTTAGACTGTATTGACAGGTGTTAGCAGACACACTTCACAGTGCAAACTTGTGTCTTTCTGATACTACTTTGAGTTTAAAAAGTAGACAAAAAATGTATACATAAACCTCATATAATAACTGCACCTAATCTTAAATAAATGAAGGTGGCACCACATCTTAACTCAGCTGACATACATATATATATATACACACACACACACACACACACACACAACACCTGATAACACTGGAGTAGCAAAAGTGAACATTTACTTGAATTATGAGTCATGTGTGTTCCATCAGGCTTTTAGTGTATAAGCTAAGTTATGTTGAAGGTGCACCTGAAAAATCTGAATCCGTGTAAATTTTAATCATGTTATAATGATATTATTTACTTGAAGGTTGTTATAGTCTACTCATACATATACTGGCATGTAAGATATTTTTCCCCACTTAAAAATAAAAACAACAGAAAACAAAAACTTCTCCTTTCTCCTATTAATAACCAATCTAAATGGTTGAGAAGAAAGTACTCTGGCAAACTAAATATAATGGTAATCAGAGTTATATTTTCCAAGCATAAATTCTCATTTTCAAATTATTAAAATTAAATACTAAATATTCAAGACAATTTAATATTTTTTTAAATAACTCAAGAATCTTATAATTTAGGATCTTATAGTGCAGAAGACCCACCAGCCTCTCCTCAGAAGGAAGGTTGGGCAATCTACTTCCGTAGTGATACCGCCTCGGAAACCGAAGGACAGGTCGCTATGAGTGGGGTCTGACTCGACGGCACATAACAACAACAACAACAGTGCAGAAGAGGTCATTATTTTGACCACCAATTAAAATATCTAACATCAAATTTTAAATGATTTGGTGAGTTGACATTCCAGGCTGTCTGTGATTATTTACGACTGACATATACAGAAATATACAACAATCTAGTTTAAGGATGGAGCCCAAGTGGTGCAAAGGTTAAGTTCTCAGCTGCTAACCAAAAGGTTCATGGTTCCAACTTACCAGTGGGCACATCATAGGAGAAAAACTCTGGCGATATGCTCTCTTAAAGATTACAGCCAAGAAAACCCTACAGGGTAGAGTTCCACTGTGTCACATGGGGTCCCTATGAGTAGGGATTGACCTGACAGAACTCAAGAACAAGTACTAGGCTTAAGGTTAACAATGAAACTGTTGATTAATTATGACACTTAACTTGGATATAAAATTATTTAATTTCAGGAATTCTTATACATTCCAGGGAGCTCTGGTGGCGTAGTGCCTAAGGCACTTGACTGCTAACCAGAAGGCTGGCAGTTCAAACCCACCAGCCACTCCTCAGAAAGAAGATTGGGCAATCTACTTCCATAGTGATATCACCTCGGAAACCCAAAGAGGGGTCGCTATGAGTCAGAGCCGACTTGACGGCCGTGCATTGCATTTTGCATTCTTTATACATCCCATTCCACATAAAAATTCTATTATTCAGAAGAAACATTATCAAACGATAAGTAAATTTGGAATCATGTAATTCTTACAAAACTAATACAGGATACTTATCTCTTATCTGTGTCTAGTGGCAGGCTGGGAGGAAAAAAGGTCCAGAGTAGAAAAAAACTTGAAGTCACTAAACTTCATTCACACAAAACAGTTCTCTCTCAGTCCTATGCAAGAAACTGTACTTGGCAAATAATTCCTTGACCTATGAGCTACTGATTAAATGTCTGCAATGTTTTCTCACTCAGTTTTAAAAGCTAGTAACTGTACTCCAATTCTTAAATGAAAATATTACTAAATCAGATATGAAAAAAATTTAATAAGTAAAAACTTAAAAAAAAAAGTCAACGTTTATTTCTAAATAAAACATTTTATCTCAATGAACCAAACCATAAAAAATACAAAATGTGGCAGAAAACTATCATTTTAGGATCAGACTACATCTAGCTTTAAGTATTTTATAAGAAGATAATGTTAAAATAATACTATACTGCAAGATTGCAAGAATAATGATTCACAAATGTTGACATCATCAAAGCACAAAATTGCCCACTTTATACTCTTTTGCTGTTGATTTAATAGGAACAATTCAAGAAGCTTCAGAGGAATCAAAGACTAAAATATGCCCGGTTAGATAACAAGGTCTAAAATATTATCTACATTGTACATACCATCAATACTACGGAAATCCAGTAAGTAAGTTCTACTATCCACTTGGTATAACTGTAGACTCATTTTAGAGTATGTGCCTGTCACAGGATTCTTCCTTCGAACACGCAAATAATATGGGTTTACAACCTAGCATATGGTGTGGACAAAAACAAAGTCAAAAGCAATTCTTTTACAAAATATTTTGTAGACTACACTTTTGCCAAATGTGCTTAATAATCAGAATGTTCTTTCTTACCTTCCATTCATAATCCAATTGTTTAATTGCTCTACAAACTTCTGCCATGATATCATTTGGTCGGCTTTGACTTCTAATTCCCAAATGCCATTTTGCTTTCCTTACACCTTGGTGTTTGGATTTCTGTGGATTTAATTCATCAAGGGTATGACGAGCCCTTGGTGTTTCAGCAACCAAAAATGGTACTCGTTCAGGATGGGGCCGAGTCAAATGGTGATCGTCCAGAAAAGAATCAGGTGGGCTTGTTGCCAAGTAAAAATCTTTGGCTTCGTTCATTATTCTCCTATTATCTATTATGAGGTGATAAGCAACTGCCAAAGGGTCCTGGTGATTTCTGTTATAAAGACAGCTGAGAACCTCATCTTCTGAGCATTCAAATTTTTCACATACTTCCTTTAAGGCTTCATCATCAATCATGGTTGAACTGTACGATGGATCCTCAGGAAAGAGATATTTAGGAAGGTCCTGTTTAAACCATTCATGTTCCCTGGAGAAAATAGCAAGGTGGGGGGAAGGGTTTTGAGTAGAACTGAGATTGAAAGTAATAGTTTGGGAAATTTAGGATATGCATTCTTTTATATTTATACTCCTACTGTATTAGTTATTATCAATTTCTAAACCAAAATTCTCCTACTCAGGTTCTCACACATCATTATACATATTGGGAGAAATGCTCCAGGCTCCCTCTGATTTTAGGAAGCATCAATGTAGCAATGGGAAAACATATGTCTATAATTTAAATAAAATTTTTGAAACAACTGACAGTTTACAGCTAGCCTACTTCCAGCTCGGAAAGAAAACAGATGAAAAAATGTTAAGCCTACACTATTGTGTGGCTTCCATACAGTACTTTGATATAATAAGTGAGAAAAAGCAGACTATAATAATGAAAACTACCATTCATTGAGTGCTTACTATAGGCCTGGTTTTATCCTAATCACTTTATATATTCTCTCACTTCATCTTCAAAACCAACTCTATGAAATAATAATGTCCCTTATTTTAGATGAGGAAAGTGAGGTTCATTTAGATGAGGAAAGTGAGGTTCAGACAGATCAAGGAACTTACTTAAGGTCTCAAAGACATTCATGCCACACCAGGATTGCATCCCAGTTCTGGGTGATTTCAAACGCCATGCTGTGAATGATCTGTATCAGTTTCCTAATGGCATGTGCAGGCAGCTCTGATGGCGCAGTGGGTAAGGCATTTGGATCCTAACCAGGTCAGCCTTTCAAACCCACCAGCTGCTCCATGGGAGGAAGATGAGGCAGTCTACTTTCATAAAGATGTATACTCTTGGAGACCCAATGGGGGTCACTATGAGTCAGAACCAATTTGATGGCAGTGGGTTTGGTTTTTGCAATGGCATATATAAAAGGATAATGTTTGATCTCAATTATATCAAAAAGCTTGCTAACATTAAAAATAATCAAGATAGGAAAACACCCAATGGAACAATGGTTATCTATTTGGTGTGTAAATGAAGATCGTTTTTATTTTCTATTTTGTTGGTGGTGATGGTGGTGTTTTCTAAGTTTTTCCAAATGTCATATATTACATTTTTAATTAGGAAAATAGTATGTAAAACAAAAGCAAAAACATCTCTTTTAGCATTTTAAAATGTAAATTTTAGAGAAAGATAACGTCCTTTCCCCCTGGTGGTAAAATCATGCCCTGTTATTCATGGTCTCCTTTTTAGTGATAAAGTATATGAAGTAAGTGCAAAGGAATCAAATTTCAAGTTCTAAAAATCATCATTCTTTCTTCATAAAGTAAGGCTTTCTTATTTACTACTCCCAGATCTATGTATGATTTCTTTCATCCTTCTCCCCCCATCCCAGAGAAATGTGTGGCCTCACATTGGAAGACCAAAAGACAAGTTTTCATGGGAAAAGAAGGTAGAAGAAGCAGTTTGCAGGAACTTTTAAAGTGTCTTACTTAAATTATTAGGGTGAATCATATGAAATTGACAATATTGATGATTTTTTTACTCGGTAATTTCATATGTAATTCAACCTGTACTACTAGGAAAAACATATCACTGGCTAAATTAAAATGTTCTCATTACCTGAGATGAACACAGGGAAGAACTGCAATAATTAATGAGATCAGAAATCAAATATTAACATACAAATTTACTAGTAAAAAGTATTAACTTTAATAAGAATACATGAGAGTCAATTATGAAGCACACTAAGGAAAACCCAAGAGAACACTATAAAATAATAAATACTCTACACCAGGATCCTCCTTAATTTTTCACTACCATTTTTTCTTTCTAATTTAAAAAAGTAATACAATGTTCACTGTAACAATTTTGAAACAAATTTGTTGTTTTTGTTGTTGTACACCCTCGAGTCGGATTCATCCGGACTCGACTCATAGCGACCCCTCCTTGGGTTTCCGAGGCAGTATCATTATGGAAGTAGATTGCCCAACCTTCCTTCCCAGGAGTGGCTGGGGGGTTTGAACCGCCAGCCTTCTGGTTAGCAGTCAAGTGCCTTAGGCACTACGCTACCAGAGCGCCCTTGAAACAAATAATTATGTATAAATAAAAGCTGAAAGGGACCAGGTTTGCTGGTCTGATAGAGCCTGGTGGAACCCCTGAGACAATGGCCCCTAGCTGCCCTTCAGATCTAGAACTGAACCCACTCCTGTGGCCTCCAACCAAACAAAAGACAGGCATATGAGTTAAACATTTACCTGAGATAAATACACTCCTTGGACTATGATGGGAGAAAGAAGGGCTGTGTATATACAGGGAGACAGCTCAGGGGGCAGGAGTGCATGGAGGGATGGACACAGAGAAGAGGTACCTATCAGAAGGAAGTAGGAGGGGAGCTGTTGCATTGTGGTAAATTGTAGTCAATGTCATAAGACAAAGTGTATGTGAACCGTTGTATGGAAAGTGAATTTGCTCTGTAAACTTTCACCCAAATCACAATCAATCAATCAATCAATAAAATAAAACCCGAAAGCCCTCACTCCAACTAATTTCACTTCCCTAAGGTAACCAGTTTGGTATGTATTCTTCTAGGCATTTTTAATGTCAAAATAGCAAAAAATGTGCCTCTATATATATATATATGAAAGCAGGATTACACTGTACAAACTGTCCTGCAACCCCCCCCAACTTATGTCATGGCTGTTGTTAGCTCTAATAACCTCTAGACTGCTTTCTTACCTGATATCTTTGATTGTGGCCCTCTTCATCGGATCCACCTGCAGCATATGTTTCAAAGGGCTAATCACAGAAGTATTTAAATGCTGAGGATTATAAAAGATCCCATCACATATCTTCTTAAACAGAGTTGGCACATGATCATCATCAAATGGAAGGGTTCCACATAATAAAGCATAGAGAATGACCCCACTGCTCCATATATCTACCTCTGGACCTGAATACAACCTGTAACAGGAAATATCATTTGAATTAAATAGTCATTAGTAATCTCATCAACCAATTAAATCAAAATTTTCAAATATGGATCTCTTTTCAAGAATTACTGGTCAATGGTGGCACTGAGGAAAAGGGAGACATAGAGAGGTACATGGGAGGTACAGACAACAAAGATGAACCCTTTTGCACACACAGTACTGCATTGTCATTGAAGGCAAACAGGTATACAGGTGAATAGATGGGTGGACAAGCTGAACTATTAGGTATGTCTATGAAGCGGGGAGTGTACCCAAGACCATGTATAGGGTTGGCAGACAGTGGTCCTAGAAGTGTATTTGTATGATCTGTAAGAATTCCCAGGTGTACAGTAGAACTAACAAGGGACAAGGTTGTAGTCACTTCTTGGTCACAGTCAGCTACCCAGATGGACCGAGTAGTTGAACCAGTGGGCTTGGGACCATAGTCACAGGGGACATCAAGCTCAATTGGCATAACATACTACATAAAACATTGTTCCACCTCCTACTCAGGCAAGTAGTGACTGGGATATTAAAAGCCTGCAAGCAGCCATCTAGATGCAACGATGGGTCTCTCCTCATCCAGAGTAAAGAAGAATGAAGAAAACCAAAGATTCATGGAAACAGTTAGTCCTAGTGACTGTACACCATGCAATCTGCAGCCTTTACGACTATGAGACCAGAAAAACTAGATGGTGCCTGGCTACCACTGTCAACCACTCAAAGGGGATCGATGTGGGAGATCCTGGATAGAGAGGGAGAACAATGTGGAACAAAACTCAAAATCATTTGGAAAAAAAGGCGACCAGGTTTGCTGGTCTGATAGAGCCTGGTAGAACCACTGAGACTATGGTCCCTAGTTGCCCTTCAGGTCTGAAATTGAACCCACACCTGTGGCTTCCAGTCAAATAAAAGACAGGCATATGAGTTGAACATTTACCTGAGGTAGATACACTCCTTGGAGAAAACAATCATGGGAGAAAGAAGGGCTGTTTATGCACAGGTAGACAGCTCAGGGGGCAGGAGTACATGGAGGGATGGACACAGGGAAGCAGCAACTATTGGGAAGAAGTGGGAGGGAGCTGTTGTACTGGGTTAAATTGTAGTCAATGTCATGAGACAAAGTGTATGTGAACTGCTGTACGGAAAGTGAATTTGTTCTGTAAATTTTCACCCAAATCACAATGAAAAGAAAAAGAATTACTGTCAAAAAATGGTTTCTATAGCCACTGCTACATGCTATGCATAAAGATCCTAATTCCATCAGTATTATCTTTGAAAACAAAAGCAAAGAATTTTTGTAAGTTATGTTGTTGTTGTTATATGCCTTCAAGTCAGACCTGACTCATAGCGACCCCTCCTTGGGTTTCCGAGGCAGTATCACTACCGAAGTAGATTGCCTCATCTTCCTTCCGAGGAGTGGCTGGTGGGTAGACCATGGCTGAAATTCTGTTCTTACTACTCTGTTCATGGGATCCAACAACAGAGCCAACCTTTGAACAAACATCATTACTGAATTTAAAACCACTGTCTTTTTATTACAGAGGACTAAAGAATCCTTCATTAGCTAAGGATGTTCTTTAGTGATGAACTGTAATCACACCATCGTGACAACACAAGACTCCCTATCAAAGTAAAAAGGGCCTGAGGCTGGAAGGAAGCTATGACAATTAGTTTACAAAAGTTTTAAACTCTCATTTGCAGTATACTATAGCCAACTAGAAGGAGCTGAGGTGGTATAGTGGTTAAGTGTTCAAATGCTAACCAAAAGGTTGGTGATTTGAACCAACCAGCTGCTCTGCCAGAGAAAGATGTGGCAGTCTGCTTCCGTAGGGTTGATATGAGTCAGAATCAACTTAATGGCCAACTAAGGAGCCCTGGTAGCACAGTAGTTAAGCACTCAGCAGTAAACCAAAGGGACAGTGGTTCGAACCTACCAGCAGCTCTGTGGGAAAAAGATGTGGCAATGTGCTTCCTTAAAGATTACAGCCTCGGAAATCCTATGGAGCAGTTCTACTCTATCCTATATGGTTGCTATGAGTCAGAACTGACTTGACAGCACACAACACAGCAAACTAACTGAGCTAGACACAGACTAGTTAGATAACCCACTCAAATTCTAGTTTCAGAAAAGGGATTTTTTAATTAATAAAATAAATTGTCTAACTGATAGATGAATGCTGTTTTGAAAGTAAGCATTTCCATTCACCCAGACCTGGCAGAAAGTCCTTATCCAAACTGAGAAAATGATTCCAGCAATGTCCCATTGCATATATGCACAATTATAATACATTTCTTTTTATTTATTGAACACCACGCCCAGTATCCAGGTCCTTAATTCCGTTTCTTCCCAAAATTAAGACAACACAAATGAAATAATTTTTAAAAAGAATTTTGGACATTAAGATAACATAAAAAGATAATGATGAAGCTTTGTAAAATAAAATTAGATATCCCTATGTTATTCATAGCCTTTACACAAATATCACTTCTTTGGGCAGGCTAAGCAAGCAAATTTATGAAAATAACCTACAAAATACAAACAAAACACTAACATTTCTGCATTCCGAAATAATCATGATGTAAAACATTCAAAGAAGCAATGGTTTGGATGAAGAGTTATTAAAGTGTATTGCATTTGGAAGCACCTCATCAGGCCTTTCTTCCGAGATGCCTCTGGGTGAACTCAACCTCCAACCCTTCAGTTGGCAGCAGAGCACATCCACCACGTGCACCATCCAGGAACCTAAATATGGCTTAACATGGATTTCCCTTCATCAGGGGAAGAAAGTGATTCTGGGCCAGTGAAACTGGCCTCTAATTTTCAATAATGACTATACTATAAATTACCAAATAAGGCCTTACAACCATCTTAAAATGATGGTATCAATGCAGAACTGGGAAGCACAGGAATGAGGAGCATACTTGGGTGAGGTGAAGAGAGGTCACTTAAGGTACAAATGGGACAAGTAACTGGTGATCTTACATCTGTGTGGTGCAGTGAATTGTTGGTATGGCCCTTCTAGCCAGTCTTTGTGATTCTTACCAGCTGACTGAGTGGGACTATGCAAGTATGAGGTGCTTGTGGTCCACCAAGGGGATTGGATAGCTTGCTGAAAATGTAAATAAGGTGCATGGCACTGTTGAGTGGGTGGGGCTATGAAAATAGGTGTATGAAACCCGAACATGGGGATTAGTCAGTCTTGACATCCCACTAGGGTTAAAATGAGCTATCCCAGAGGTGGAAAGGAGGGATCTTACTACCATCAAGAAAGAAGAGCCACAAGTACAGCGTATTTGGACCTGAGATCCCTGCACTGAACCTCCTCGACCCAGAAGACAGAGCTGTGACACAAGAGATGGCAAGAAGCAGTAACAGTGTAACGGCAGCAGTAGACGCAGCAGAACCAACAGACCAGCACAAAGCAGTGGCTTCTCTGTCCATAGATGCAAAAAGCTGAGAGTTTTGTTCTGAGGCTTACTGGCACAGTGAAGTACCTCTAGGCATTCATCGGGAGAGCTAAAAGAGCTTTGCATTGCTTACTTGCCTAAGCAGGACAGCAGCCAGGCCAAAGGGCCCAGGACCAGAGAGAAACCTGCCTTTGGGCCTGGCTGAGGGAGGCTATCTGGATCAAAGAACTATATCCCAAGTCATTGTTGCTTCTGAATTATAACCTGCTACTTTCCTAATAAACCCCATAATCGTATTTGTCTGATTTCTGTGTGGCAACAACACTGAATTACTGAACCAAGCAGAGAACTAGAGAGTGCCGTAGGAGGAATGGTTGGTGTCAGAACTGGTAAAAAGGCTGGAGGGTGGCAGTATGCCTGACCTCTACCTCACAGAAAACAGCTTTGGATTGCTGATCTTAATTATTCCCCCACCTTGTGAAGTTAGAAGACACACACCATCCCATATCATTTTTACAATCTGACAAAGTAAAAATCAGAACTTAGGAACAAGACCACAGTGCAACCTGTTGTAATCCACCCTGGGCTGTAAGCCTCTTGACCACAGATAGGTTTTATCCTTTGCTTCCCCAGAATTCAACAAATGTTTGATGAATGGAAAAGAAAATTTAAAACTTAGTAAACGAACTAAAGTTTCTAGTTTCAATTTCAGTGTTGTAACTGAAGAACAAACAGTTACTCTTAAAAACTTTAAATTCCTCTGTCATCCAAGCTACTCAAAAAGCTACCCAAGTACAACTATCCTCTTGTTCTCAGTGTTGGTGGTTAGTGGATCAAGAGCAGGGTGCAGGGAATTACTAGGTATGGCTTTTCTAGCCATAGTCTCTGTAATTCCCACCAGATTACTGGGTGGGACCATGTAAGTAAGGTGTGGAGAACTCTGATGTTGGGATAGGGTAGTTTTGTCACTCTGCCTGGCTTAAAAATGAGCCTTCCCAGATGCTGAAAAGGAGCTCTGGTGGCGCAGTGCCTAAGGCTCTTGACTGCTAACCAGAAGGCTGGCAGTTCAAACCCACCAGCCACTCCTTGGAAGGAAGGTTGGGCAATCTTACTTCCGTAGTGATACCGTCTCAGGAACCCAAGGAGGGGTTGCTATGAGTCGGGTCTGACTCAATGGCACAAAACAACAAAGAGGCTGAAAGAGGTATCTTCCTGCCATCAAGTGAGAAGAGCTGGAAGTGAAGTGGAGCACATCCTGGGACCCGAGATCCCTGGACTGGACCCTCCTCGGCTGAGAGGCGCCTGGCTGAGGCAGAGGTGCCCAGTGAAGAGATGGCGGCAGTAAAGCCAAGAGGTAGGAGATGGAGCAGCGAGCTTTCTGGCCCACAGTACAGGAAAGCTATGTGCGCTTGGGCAGGAGGCTTGCTGGCAGAGTGGTGTACACATAGATATACCTATCAATAGAGCTAAAAGAGCTTTGTAACACCTGCCCAAGCAGGGCAGAGGCCAGGCCAAGAGGCCAAGGGTCAGAGGAGAGCAGAGGGGAGACTGTCCTGATCCAAGAACTGTATCCTAAGCGCATTAGTGAACCTGAATTATAACCTGTTATTTCCCTAATTAACCCCATAATCGTAAGTACTGTCTTTTGAGTTCTGTGTGGCCATTGCAACAAATTATCAAATCCAGCAGAGAAGCTATGCGTGTCCTGGAAGGATGGCTGGTGTTAGAATTAGTAAAAAGGTTGGAGGGTAGTGGTATGTCTGGCCTCATAGAAATAAGCCTTGGGCTACTGATGGTGACTCTATTTCTCTCTCATGAGATCTGAGAAGGTCAGTTGTTGCCTCCATGCCCTTTCTGCAAAGAGGTTAGAATTCTTATAATATTGTAGTCTCTAGAAAGTTTAAAGAATTAAGACTAAACATAAATGAAGTGTGAAATTTTTATCAATACTGCAGTCTGATTCCCCAAGACATCATCTTAGCATAAAGCCTAATCCTACAAAATGCCATCTTTTTTAAAAAATTAAAGCTACAAATCATTTAATTCTTCATCTAAAACAGTAAACCATTTCTGACTATAATTATTTGTTTTATTCAAATTTTTGATGTTTTTAAAACTTGCTAGTTTTAAAACTACCTATAATTTCTTCCACCGACAACAAAAAAATGAAAGTACTCTCATCTAACTACTTTAATACAGATCTGAAAACCAACATAACCCTCTATAAATGGAATCATTATGCCCTATTCACTTACAATGTTTTACTTTTCAAAGAGAACGCTGTATAGCTAAGCAAAGAATAAACCCTAAATGTCTTTCCTTTCACAGTAATTGTGACAACAGACTAACAAAATCAAGGGGGAAAAATGACAATTAGAAAAATGTATGGAGCAGAGGGGGATGTCAAATACAAATACTACCTTCCTGAAATTACTTCGGGTGCAGCATAGTTGGGTGAGCCACAACTTGTTCTTAAAAATTCACCATCTGACATCATGTTGGAAAGACCTGAAAGTGCACAAAATCAGCTACTCAGGATTTCCCAAGGACAAAAAGAGAACCAAAACCCCATTAAATAATAAAATTGAGTTTGCATGAACGTGGTAGACCATCTTTCTGTTCTTTGCTTCAACAAAATCATATAGTCTTTACTGTTTCCAAATGTTCTGCCATTATGCTCTAAAATTTGTCAAATACTCAACACTTAAATTAGTCATTGCTGGAGTTTAATGAGTATATATTAAGCTATTGGTTATTTGGTTTACCAGAGTAAGCTTGGCATAAGTTTGAGTGTTATTAGTACAGAAATGAAACTAGGACAAGCGATCTAGAATAGATGAAAAGGACTACAGTTCAAGGTTTCTATGAACCAGGTGCTGATTCCTTACCAAAAAATAAATATATATTTTGAATCTAAGTTTGTTCACTCATTGTTTTATTCCAAAGGGAAACCTCTGTTCTCCCCAAAAGAAACCTCTGACCCACAAAAAAAAAAAAAAAAAAAAAAGAATTATAAAAATAATCAGGACAACTGAGGAATAAGGAAGTTAAGTAATTTAGCCAGTCACATAAAAATCACATAAATCAATTAATCTCTACAGATTAAAAATATATATTTAAAACTGAGGAAAACATAAGAATCTCCTCTGATTTGAACTAAAATTAAGTAACAGAATTGCAAAGATTCCTTTTCTCTTAGGCTCACACAGATAAAAAAGGAAAACTAAATACATTTTGACAATCAAAATACTGTTCCTCAAGCTGAAATTATGCTCTTCTATCGTTTAAACTTTTTTTTTTTCACTTTGTTAATACGGTTCACCTTATGGCTTTCAAAGGTTTTGAGTAAGTCCATCTTAGTCATTTTCTTCTTTTTCCGTATTTAACCAAGAGAATATATTGGCAATAAGACTGCTACCCTTCTCCTGCACAAATAATAGTCTCTTTCAAACAATTTCTCTTAGGCTGCCAACTTAAATGATTTTAAAAACATAAAGCTAAAAAAAGAGAATTTCTTGGCTTTTTCTCTCTTTCGTGTGATCATAAACAAAATAGTAAGGATATACTTTGGGATTCTCTATCTACTACCTTAAAGGAAAAGGTATTTGAATAATGCTGCTACTTATGTTCATATGAAATTTAAAAATACGCTTACCAAAATCAGCTATCTTTGCATTCATGTGTGCATCAAGCAGGACATTTTCAGGTTTCAAATCTCTATGGACCACCATATGCCTGTGACAGTAATCCACACCAGAAAGGATTTGTTGGAACAGACGTCGACTTTCTTTTTCATCCAGCTAAGAAAAGCAGAGAGGCATCTTAAAAGTGAGACTTTCAAAAGAATTTCTACACATAATTCTCCAAGCAATAAAAGTATCCAAATATATGAAACCATCCAAATGAACCTCACCCAAGAGATAATTGTGAAATGAAGAGGAGATACATACAGCCTGAGCAGAAATGTTAAGTATCAGGATCCCAAATCAGTAACTCAACTTTCTAATATTATCAGTTTCATATAATTTCATTGTAACAGCTTATCTTCCTCTATATCTTATGAGCTACTTCAAATAATTTCCATTTCTACTCGAAAGTAGGCATGTTTTCTCCTCTAATTGCAAGAATTTAATCATTCACTCTTAACAAATATTTATTGAACACTTTCAATATACCACACACCATTCTAGACATTCAAGATATAGCAATGAGTAAAACAAAAGACCTAGTTAATAAGAATAGACTATGAATAAATATAACCTCAAGGAGTAATAAAAACCAAACCTACTGTCATAGCAACCCTATAGGACACACAGAACTACCCCATAGGGTCTCCAAGGCTATAAGTCTTTATGGAAGCAGACTGTCTCATCGTTCTCCCAGGGAGCAACTGGTGGGTTCAAATCACCAACCTTTTGGTTAACAGTACTTTGAAAAAAGAAAAGCAGGATAATGGCACAACGATGTGGGCAGAGGGAGTACTATTTTAGCCTATATGAGGAAGTAACATTTAAGCACTGTTACTCAATTAATAAACCATGTTATTATATATCCTGAAATAAAATGTTATAATTTTAACATAAGAAAAACCTTAATTAACCTGTCTTATAAACTATAAGAAATCCATCTTTAGCATGCTTACTGAAAATACTGTCTTATGTTGCAAATATATTTTTGAGAATATATTTTTTAAAACTTCTATTTATCCATAAAGGAGCTCTAATGACACAGTGATTGAAGCATTCAACTGATAATCAAAAGATCAGCAGTTCAAACCCACGAGCTGCTCTGCAGGAAAAAGATGAGGCAGTCTGTTTCTGTAAAGATTTACAGCCTTAGAAACGCTATGGGACATTTCTACTCTGTCCTACAGAGTAACTATGAGTTGGAATCGCCTCAATGACAGTAGGTAGGTTTTTTACTTATCCATATTTTTTTATGTTGTGAAATTTTTTTCATAAATGGTAGTCATTACTTGGACATGGCCACTCTCTAGAAGTCATTTTAATAAATAAAATATTAATTCTAAATTAATAATTAATTCTGTTAATTAATATTAATAGACAAAAGATTCTAATATTCAATACTCTAAAACAGTTCACTAATTAGCACTCTAAGACCACAAAACACCGAAGTGGCATGGAAAATCTGGAAGAAAACACAAACTAGTAATTTCTTTTGAAAACAAAATTAAAACTATTGAAATACTATAATATATCCTTGCTATATTAATCTTTCAGCAATCCAACACCTTTACTACTAGAAAAAAGTACAGGTTCATTATCTAATACCATTCTGTATCAAACATAGTACATGGAAAAAGAGTATTTGTTCAAAATGTGAAAGAGTCGGAAAAAAGTTGATTAAATGAAATATATAAGGGAAAAATAACCAGAAATGCTATAAAATTATATTTGTATTACAATATTAACAACATACACAGTATGAAGGATGAAGGAGGAGAGATCTATAGATGGAAGATTAGAAAAGCCAAAGCATATTTCCAGTTAATCATAGCAGATTTAGCATATTGTTTCCACTCCTTAAAACATCACTAAAATGGTATTAGGAATAAAAGAGGTAGAGCCAAGAAGAGCAAGGGACAAGACAGTAGTAACCAAGAGGATGCACCTAGCTGGACAGGGGACAAAACAGTAATAAATGACAACTGATCAGAGAAAGCTGAAAACTAAGCCTACAAAGGTAGAAGTCAGTAAGCAATAAAGTCATGTGCACACAGAACCCTGGAAAGGCTCAGTAACTATAGTAACCAGAAACTTCTGAAGGCAGAAGTGATAGGCAGGGCTGAAAACAGAACAACTGGCTGAAAGCAAGAAACATGTAAATATCCTTAAACCACTATCAAAACCCACTGCCATAGTGTTGATTCTGACTCACAGCAACCCTACAGGTGAGAGCAGAACTGGCCAATAGGGTTTCCAAGACTAAATCTATGGAAGCAGACTGACTCATCTTTCTTCCATAGAGCAGCTGGTGGATTTAAACGGCTGACCTTTTGGTGAGCAGCTGAATGCATTAACCACTGCATAGCCAAAGCTCCTTACTAGAGACTAAAACTCATAGTTTACACTCTAGTAAGGTTGAACCAGCTCTGTTCTCAAGGACACCAAAGCAGGAATGAGGCACCATGGGGATTAAGTGAAAGTCAACATATTCATTTACAGACCTCTTCCCACTCAACTCCCAGAACACTGGCACCTAAGCTGATACCCTCAAAGAAATTGGAAGGTTTCTTCTGAAGCAACTGTCTGATCCAAGAAAAATATTTACAATTACAGTCACGTATCACTTAATATCCATGATAAGCTCTGTCAAGACATTATGTAATTTGGACATTCTGCAAACATCCCTAAATCGCAAGTAATAACATTCACTGATTTTCCACCTCCGTGTTGATAACCTTTTGTTTTACTTCCAGATCAACACTTCCCTTTGGCCTCTTGTTGCTGCTGTGACAAGCACTGGTCTTGCTGCATTTGGAAGCCATGATGCACTTTACATAGTATTTTCAAAAGAAAATTAAACAGAGAAATAATACTTTAACACTCAAGAAATGCTCAATTACCCAAACAATAGACAGGCATATGAGTTGAACATTTACCTGAGGTAGATATACTCCTTGAAGAGAACAAGCATGGGAGGGAGAAAGAAGGGCTGCTTATGCACAGGGAGACAGCTCAGGGGCCAGAGTGCATGGAGGGATGGACACAGGGAAGAGGTAACTATCGGGAGAAAGTGGAGGTGAGATGTTGCATTGTGGTAAATTGTGGTCAATGTCATGAGACAAAGTGTATGTGAACTGCTATATGGAAAATGTATTTGCTCTGTAAATTTTCACCCAAATCACAATAAAAAGAAAGAAAAAAGAAAGAAAGAAATGTTCAATTACACGAAATTGGATGCTGATGCCTATAGTACAAGTCAAATTATATACTGTTAAAGCTTTTATTTGTACGTAAGGAAAGTTCCCATTAAAATAATGATTAAAAAAAGGACAATACATACAAAAGCCAGTAACACAGGCATTTATTATGACTATCAAAACATATATATTATAGGTTATGTGTATGTGTGTGTGTGTGTGTGTGTATATTATATATTGTACCGTTACATGGTTACATGCCTGGAAACACAATTGCTTTGTATACAAGACATGGGATACACATGATGCACACAGGAAGCTATTGCATCTACTACATCTGGTTATATCTGCTGTGTCCCATTCTTCAATCAGGATTTCTGAACTCTGTTAGAAGCTTGTGGGACCATGGACATACATGTGGCTGGACATTGAGGGAACAGACATTATGTGGCTCATGACTATATTGAAATTTAGTGTACCCTAATAAAATGAAGAGGCTCCTACCTTATCAACTTATGGGAACACACCCCAATCTGTAAGTCCCACCCACATGAGCTTGGCATGTAGTACCTCCATCTTAAGTACAAGTGAACAACCAAGAATCACCAGACACCCGAGGAAGCATTATACAAGAGACAAAGACCAATAAAAATGAACAGGAAAAAAAGGGAGAGAGGGGCACAGAAGAAAACGCTGGGAACAGAAGAAAACTTCTTTAAAAGCTAATTATCTTTAGAGAGACAAAGTTATTACATCTGTGGAGCAAAACTATGTAAAGAGTTTCTACCAACAAGAAAGATGTTTGAAATAGAAAATATGACAGCTGAAATTTTAATATTCAACAGGCAAAAATAAATAAATTTATCACAATGTAAAACAAAATGACCAAGAAATGAGAAATGGAAAAGATAAGAAAACAAGAAACCGATCCAACTTGAGCCTATTTCCACTTTCCCAGGAGAACTTTGGGGGGGAGGAGGTGGTAAAAGAAGAGGAGTTACCTGAAAGTGAAATGAATCATGTTAAGAAACTCAGTAAAATCAAAATTAACTTGGTTAATGAGTTTTATATAGATGGAAGTAAAACAGATATGCTATACAGAACATATGAATCAATGAATAATCCAAAGAGCTTTAGATTGGGAGTGAAAAAACTGGCTTTTGGATGCTAGATGTGGCTCTTCCAGAAAGGGGATTTCAGACACCATATAACCTGTGTGGGGAAAAAGGCATGGAAGGGAGATGCTATTCAGTTTTTGTATCTGTAACTTAAGATACTGTTCAAAATAGCTTCTTAATTTCCCTCTAGCTCTAAATTCTTTAAGTCTAATTCCTACCTCCTTCATGGAGCCTGTTCTTACTACTCCAGGTACATCAGATTTCTGAAACCAAAAAATGAATGCAATTTAAATGTGGCTAGGGTGAACTAGCAACGTCTAGATTGTTACGTATTTAACAATATACTCTGTAAGGATTAAATATATGCTTTAAGATTTGTATACCTCAGCAGTGGAAGTCTGAGGATCCTGAGTTCAGAGGTCTAAATCCAACTCTGTAATTAATAAATATGTGACCTTGATCAAATATGAAAACTATGAGTCAATGTTTCTACATCTGTGTTAGTACAGTAAAGAAAATAATCCTTAAGGTCCTTTCTACCCCTAAATAGTCTGATTCTAAACAAATATGATAAAGGGAATGTGATTATTAAATAAACCTATTAACAAAACTGCTTTCTGACATCACGTTGCTAGTAAGGGATAAGGGGAGTTACAGAATACATACGGGATGAAATCAGAACTGCTTACCCTTCCATTTTTACAGATATAATCAAATAGTTCTCCTCCTGAGACATATTCCATCACCATGAAAATATCAGATGGTGTACTGATGACCTGGTACCTGGTGAGAGAAAACATTATCTACTAATATTAAAACATGTATATTCATTCATTCAGTAATATTCACTAAGTGCCTATAATGTACCCAGTGCTAAGAACTGGGAAACAGCAGAGGACAAAACAAATTCTCTGTCCTTATGGAGTTCATGTTCCAGGAGCCAGGAAACAGACACTAAATAAGTAACAATAAGTTAGGTGGTGGAATGTGTTATGAAGAGAAATAAAGCAAACTAAGGGGAATCTTTTATACAGGATGGTCAATGAAGGCCTCTCTGATAAAGGTGTGTTTGAGAAGAGCCTGAAGGAAGTAAGGAGGCAACCTAGTCCATTATCCAGGAGGAAGGCAAACCAGGTAGAGGAACAGCAAGCACAAAGGCCCCCAGCTGGAAGCCGCCTGGCATGTATAAGGCTGGAGCAGAGTAAGCAGGAGGAGAAACAGGATGTGGAGTCAAAGAGGTAACTACTGCAGGACACAGGCCACAGGCCATGAGGCTTGGCTCTGACTCTAAGTGAGATGGTAAGCTACTGAAGGTTTCAAGCAGAGCAATCACACAAGCTGGCATATTAAAAGGAGAACCATGGTGACAGTGTGAAGAATTAACTATGGATGGCAAAGGTGGAAGCAGAGGCTACTGCAACAGCCCACAAGAGAGATGAGGGGGCTCCAATTAGGCTGATGGTAAGGAAGGAACTGAGTCAGGTCTCAGATAGGTTTTGAAGGTCAAAATGGCATGGATGGTGGGCGATAAGAGAAAGTGGGAAGTTAATGATGGTTCCTAAGTTTGTTCCCTCAGTAACTACTGATATGGTGTAAACTATGGGAAAACCAGGCTTAGGAGAGTAGTAAAGAGTTCAGTTTTTGCCATGTAGAGTTTGAAATGCTCACGTCATCCAAATGGAGATGTCACAGTGTCAGTGAGCATGGAGTCTGTAGTTTGGGGAAGAGGTTTCCAGGCAGGAGATGTACATGTAGGAGTCATCAGCATATGGGTAGTATTATAAACCATGGCCTAGCAACAAATTAGAGAAGGTGAGTGAAACAAATTTTGAGTCAGTTCAGTACAAAAGCCAAGAAGCTTCAATTTACAGTTTGCATAATGAAACAGAGGCTTAGCAGAAAATAAGTTATCTGTAGACCCTAAAATCGATAACTGTAGAACAGCAGTAAGATTACCACCCTTTTGAAATACTGGGTTCCTAAAATTTTAGTAGGTATTAGCAGCATGGGGTAAAACTCTTTCTGTTGTACTGTGTCTAGTAAGGCTCACTTACATCGTGAAAATTTGAAGGAGGAGAGCTTTTACCAGCAAATCTTTGTTGCTACTACAACAATATAATGAAGGAATGAAGAACATCTGTCTAAAAGACAAGAGAGAACAAGAAGCCTAACAGTTGATAAGCACAAGGGCAAAACACGAGCAGAAGCTTAAGTAACCATGAATAGGGTTAGATAAATACATAAAAAGGAAGACTCTTCAAAACTCTCAAGAATCAGAACAAAGAAATGTCAAACATCTTTTCCACTTGTCAGATTCAGTGATGAAAAGATTATGTGATTACATTTAATGAGAACTTACAGTTTAATTATATGAGGGTGCCTGAAAAGCTTGAGGTTCTGAATTTCTCTGCGGATTTTTCCTACCACATCAAGGCTTCGAATCTTCTGTCGATTGAGTATCTTCACAGCAACTTTATGCCCAGTCAGTTCATGTTTGCCAACTGCAGGAGAAATGGTATTTAACAAATTAGTACCAGACCTGATTAATAAAACATTTAGATCTAATCCAAGAGTAATCTTAGCATTCTCGGAAAATACCTCAGCAAATTTAAGTTCCTATCTCTTCTGCCTGATTGCCTCCTGGATGTTTAGATGTTTTAGAGTGATTAAGTGGGAAAAAACATAAGAAATCAGTAGCAATGGTTTCTTCCAGAAAGGAAAACTATAAGGCTAAGAGAGAAAGAAAGAAAAAAGATTTGTTTTTCACCTTAAAGTTTTTCATTTTTTACATTTTAAACTATCATACACACAAATTAACATTTTTTTTCTGATGTATAGATTTTAATGCACGTAGAGATTTGTGTAACCACTATACAGCAATTCTATAATCCCAAAAGACACCCTTGTATTATCCCATCAATTATCCTTTGTATTGATTATGGTTCGTGGGAACACAATTTTTTTTTTTCCTTTACCCAAGTTATTAAATATCTACCCTCTAGTTCTTAATAAGGAGCTCTGGTAGCAGAGTGCCTAAGGCACTTGACTGCTAACCAGAAGGCTGGTGGTTCAAACCCACCAACCACTCCTCGGAAGGAAAGTTGGGCAATCCTACTTCCGTAGTGATATCGCCTCAGAAACCCAAGGAGGGGTCGTTATGAGTCGGGGCCGACTCGATGGCAAATAACAACAACAGTTCTTAATAAGCATCTTTTTACCATACTCATTCGATCTGTATGCTAAGCAAATAATCAGAGAAGCTGGACTATATGAAGAACATGGCATCAAGAATGAAAGAACCATTAACAACCTGCAATATGCTGATGACACAACCTTACTTGCTGAAAGTGAAGAGGACTTGAAGCACTTACTGATGAAGATCAAAGACTACAGTCTTCGGTATGGATTACACCTCAACATAAAGAAAATGAATACTCTCACAACTGGACCAATAAGCAACATCATGGTAAATGAAGGAAAGACCGAATTGTCAGGGATTTCATTTTACTTGGATCTACAGTCAACACCCATGGAAGCAGCAGTCAGGAAATCAGAACTACTGCACTGGGCAAAGCTGCTGCAAAAGATCTCTTCAAAGTGTTAAGAACGAAAGTTGTCATTTTGAAGACTAAGACACACTTGACCCAAGCTATGGCATTTTCAATTGCCTCATATGCACGTGAAAGCTAGACAATTAGTAAGTAAGATCTAAGAAGAGTTGATGCCTTTGAATTGTGGTATTGGTGAAGAATATAGAGAAAGTACAGCCAGAATGCTCCATGGAAGCAAGAATGGCCAGACTTTGTCTCATTTACTTTGGTCATGTTGTCAAAGGGGATTATTCTCTGGAGAAGGGTATTATGCTTGGTAAAGTGGAGGGTCAGTGAAGAAAGAGGAGAAGGCCCTCAACAAGATGGACTGACACAATAGCTACAATGATGGGGGGGTTCAAGCATAGCTAAAATTTTAAGGATGGTGCAGGATAAGGCAGTGTTTTGTTCTTTTGTACAGGGTCACTATAAGTTGGTGCTTACCTGATGGCACCTAACCACAACAACAACCCTCTAGTTAGTGGTTTAACCTCCCTTCTCCTCCCACCCTTGGTAACCATCAAAGAATACTTCTTTTTCTGTGCAACCCATTGCTTGACCTTTTATAATAGTGGTTTCATACAATATTTGTCCTTTTGTGATCGACTTTTTCACTTAGCATAATGTCCTCTAGGTTCACCTATATTATGAAATGTTCCACAGATTCATCACTGTTCTTTAACGCTGCATATTATTCCATTGTGTGTGTGTACCGCAGTTTCTTTATCCATTCATCTACTGACAGGCACTTGTTTCCCTCTTTTTGCTACTGTGTATAGTGCTGCAATGAACACAGGTGTGCACATATTTGTTCCTATCATAGTTCCTATTTCTCTGTGTTATGTACCTAGTAGTAGAGTTGCTGGATCATCGTGAGAACGCAATTTTTATTTTTATTTTTTTAATGAAGTTTAAAATAAGGAGAAAAAATTAAGTGATTTACCTTTTAATTTTGAACGCTACACCCAAACTGTCAATGGCAATAGTAGAATTTAGACATTTTTATAGAGGTAAAGTCTGAAAAATACTTAGCTTCTATGCACTCTTTCTCAAGAACCTACTGAAGAATGTACCTTCCATCAAAATCAGGAAAGAAACTAAAATGACACAGAATTCAGAAAGAAGTAATCCAACATAGAAAAACTAAGAGAATTCTCAACTGATGATAAAGCAAAGTCCTAGCTAAAGATGTACAGAAGGCCTTGGAGGCACCAAATCCAGATAGGAATGTGACAGAAGACTCAAGATGGTTATTTCCAGGAAGAAAATAGATAATTTAACAGGTTTGAAAGTATGGGAATATTATATTGAGAAATATTTCACAAAGGCACTGGAAGATATGGGAAATATACACTTATGTTCAAAGAAAGCTAAGTAAATGAAAACTGAGGTAATTTATTAACTCTAGGAAAAATAAAAAGTTCTATAAGAAACAAAACACAGTCATAGTACTATTGGCTTGGCAAATACAGATTTTTTTTAAAAAAAGAATGATATAATTGTATTAGGAGATTACGATATAGGGGAAATGGTATCTGTGTGGTGGTTATGTTTGTGTGTCAACTTGACTGGGCCTGGTTGAGTGGCTGAGCAGCTGATGGTAGTTATTTCCCATGATGAGACTGTCAACCAACTCCATGTGGGATCTACCACAAGCAGCTGAGTAGCTGCCTTTGGGACGTGGTCTACTTCCTGTATATGATGAGAAGCTTTGAGAATGGTCTCTAGCCTATGGCACGCTTGGACCCTGCATGTAGCCGTGTCATTGCTCAGCAGCCTGCTACGCTCTGCTGACCTTGGGACTTACAATGGACTTAAGTCAATAGCCTGCCGTGTGGTAACATCAGGACTGTGCCTTTTTACTTCTCAACCTTGGGGTTTCTCAGCCTCAGCAGCCAGCAGCTGTCTGAGTGAAGAAAAGCCTCTAGCTCCAGTGGGCCGGGAACAGGAGGCAAAGCTGGTCCCCAAGGTTGTGGGGCTTTCACCAGCTCTGCCTCCTGCTTAATACTACCCAAAGCCTGGCACTTTGAACTTGGACTTAAAGCCTCCAAATAGTAAGAATAAACTCCTGTTTGTTAACCGTTCCATTTGTGGCATATTCTTGTCACAGCGGCACTAGGTAACCAGAACAGTATAAGAACTAAAATCTTCATCTACCATAATGTTGTTGTTGTTGTTATGTGCCGTCGAGTCGGCCCCGACTCATAG